TGCAGCCATTGCTCAGCAGCTCCAGGCAGCACCGTGCCCCCGGGCACAGCAAGGCTCCGGCTGCACCGCCTCCCCATCCACACGTGTCTGCGTTGTGACCCGACCATCCCCATGCCTCGCTTCGCCCAAGAAACCTCCGTCCCCAAATCCTGCTGCGCCCCGGTTGCTGTCATGGATGCCGCTGCGACCGGTGCATGGCTCTTCCCAAACCTCTCTTGTTTTTTTCATGGAAAAAGGCGCCCCCTCCTAACGACTGGTGCTGAGCTGCTGGGTGACTGCAGATAAGTCCCTATGTGCCTCAGTTTCCCCTGTGGGCACACAGTCCCTGCGGGCTTGGCCCAGCAGTCCCATGCCTGGTCGAGCCTAAAACCACATTTTTGGCCATCTTCCACTGTTGTCTGGCCATCGCTGCCGCGAGGACGCTGCTCCAATCCATGACCCAGGAGCTCTGCGGGCTCTGCCAGTCCCTGGGGAGCTTGGGCTGAAGGGGACAGGAATAGACCCGGTCCCTAGGCCTGTTTTGGGTGGGGATGGCACCTTCCCAACCACGAGGGAGACACAGCTCCCGGCGGTAGCTCTGGGCAAGGGGACCCCCTCCCGGGGAGGGTGGCAGTGCCACGGCTCCCTCGTGCCAGGGTCTGCAGCGCCGGCCATCTGCAGCGGTCTCACACCTGCGCCCACCGCGCGCTTGGCACCGGGTGGGCACGCTCGCTCCAGAACCCCCCGCCCGCGAGCTCCCGCTGCGCTCGTGCGGACCGAGGCTGGCACGGCGCAGGCAGAGCAGCCAGCCGGAGCGGGACCGCGTGGGCTGGGCAGGCACAGGCAGGGTTTGCAGGCAGGAGAAGGGAAAAGCAGGTCTGAGCACGATGGGGTTGGGGGGTCCTGGGGAACATCGTGGGGACCTGACGCTGCAGCTTCATGCTGGATTCGGCCTTTGGCTGCAGGCAGGGTGAGGGCAGGGGAGGTGATGCTGAGCTGCTTTTGCCTCCTCTCCAGAAGATGCTGCAGCCAAGGCTCCGCTCTGCGGCACTGCCTGCGATGCTGCAGGGACCGGTGAGCCGGGAGGGGAATGGACCAGAACCCCCAGGTCTGGATGCTGAGCTTTGCCCTCCCCAGCACCCGCAGCCGTGTTCCCTTTGAGCACCCAAGCCAAGCTCTGCAGCAAAAATGAGCCCTGCAGCACCTTTGGGGGGGGTCCCCAGCTTCCTTCCCTGCCTTCCCATCGCTCCTGGCTGGAGGCACCCCAGGGTTGACCCTGCCCTGGGCTGCCGGGAGCTGCCGGGGATCTGCGGAGGGTGACCCCGGGAGCGGGCGGATGGCCGTGCCCCCCCCAGCAACTGTCCCTTCATCCCTGGTCGATGCAGCCCAGCATTAACATAAAATCGATGCCGCCTCCCCTGCCCAGCCTGCGGTCACCCCGGGGCGATACCCTTTAACCCCTTCGCCCCTGCCTCGGGGCACCCATGGGGGGAGAGGGGGGAAGGACAGAAGGACGGAGGCCAGGACAGGGGTCCTTCCCTTCAGCCCCTTCACGCAGGTCCCTGCAATCTTTGGCCCCGCTTTCTGTCCCCAAGAGCTTTCACACTACCAAAGGGAAAAATTGGGGACAGACTACGGTGACACGACCACGGTCCTGCAGAGATTACTGCGGCACAACTGCATTTAAAAGCACGTGGCCAAATCCACGCGGGTCCCTGGGACACGGCACGGCACAGCCAGCACAAACCCTCTGGCTCGGTCTTGACCCACTCCTGCCACGGGCACTGCCAGGGACAGGGGTCCTTTGCTGGGGACATGTGGGGGTGGCATCACTTCCAGTTGGGAGGGCAGGATCTGTCCCAGGCTGCGGGGAGGTGAAAGCGGAGCATTAGGAGGGCGGCAGCGGAGAAAGCGCATCGCCAGCCTTCCCCTCCACACCAGGCCAGGCCCCGGATTTACATTTTTATTCCTTTTAAAGTGAATTTTGCACTGGAGGGTATTGCCAGGTTGGCAGAGCGAGGGGCTGATCCTGCTCGCTGCTGCCCCCGTGTAACCCTGTCGGGCAGCCAGAGCGCGGTGGGATCAGCCCCCCCC